TGTTGATATAAGTTAAAGGGTAAAAAGGATGCAAACGATATACTTGTGCAGGTTCGATCCAAAGCATTTATCTACGTACTCCATTATCAAATTCTCCGACACGAGCAAGGCCTTTTCACTATATTGATTGACTTATGGTGCAATCTAACGATTTACAATGCTTTCGATGACTTACAAACATGGAGCACCAATCCTTATACACTATTGAGCTTTTCAAGAACTCAATATAACCCACACAATGACTTACAACAAGGAGCATCAATCCTTATACTATTAAGGTTTTAAGGGACCTCAGTACGACCCATAAGATTAATGATTTTCCAATGAAATTTCTCTCGCAATAAATGATAAAAATGAATTAAGTACTAAGAGAGACTAAAACTTCAATGAATACCAATAAATGATAGCTCAAGTGTTATATGAGAAAACTTTGATGCACATGATGATTTCAAAGTTTAATTAAATTTATCAAAATTTTTCAATGAGAAGATGAAGAAGAAATAAGTGCAATCTTAGTTCAAAAATCTTCTCAAAATATCTCTCTTTTAATGAATAATGATAATAAATTAAGTACTAAAAGAGAGATGTAGAACTTTGATAAATATTATGATTTTACAAGTTTGATTCAATAAATCAAAGTTTTGATATATAGAAGTAGTAGAAATGATACAATGTAAGTTCAAAATTTTTCTTCAAAATATTACTCTCTCTTATGAATGATAGAAATAAGTTAAGTACAAGAAGAGAGATGAAAAACTTTGATGAAGATGATGATAAAAGAGTTTAAGTCAATAAAAAAAATTTGATACGAAGAAATAAATAAAATGAATGCAAAGGAAAGCTAAAGAATTCTTAAAAAAAAAAAAAAATTCTCACTATGATACTCTTGAAAATCCTATGAAGAATGGAAGGAGTTGTGATATTTATAGAATTCAAAATGTGTATAAAAAAAAATTGTAAGTTCGAAAGATCGGTCAAATTTTGGACCGTTGGATGGGTCTGATCAATCGGCTCTTATGGCCGTTCGATCGGTCCAGTCAACCACCTCTCTGGTCAGTTTATCGTCTCAACAATGCGGTCTTTTTACGTTTTGACCCCCTTTGTTCCGATTTGAGAATTTTGAAATGCATGGATTTTTTGAAGGTATTTTTAACTAATTTTTCAAGATAAAATTTTTTTTTAAAGTACAAATATCATTTTTAAAAGTCATTTTTATATTTGATCAAAAGTTGCATTCGAATGACTTTTAATGCACAAAAATTGTTTTTAATGCATAGAATGATTTTGAGCTTAACTATTCATTCTCAAATATCAAAGTGTTAGTACCTTTACATTTTGTCTAAGAATTCCTTTGAATTTTGGCTAATAAATTCTTGAATGTGTGACTTTGATCTTGACCTCGTTCTTTGATGCCGTCTCTCATGCTCTGGATCTTGATCTTTCTTAACATTTATCTTTTAAGCTCTCGTCTCGAAAGATTTGACTTGAGTGTTTAACTTCCACATTGATCTTCATTTCGAGTCCGATTTATAATGCTTGATTGATTTTAGCGATGAACTATCATCACTCAAAATCAGTTGTTAGAAAGAATATTAATCTTGTTTGTTATGATCAAAACATTAAGGATGAAGTTGTCAACAGTTCCGACAATAGGATTAGTGGAAATCCGGTGCAGCTGACATTCTGTAGAACGGCTATAACTGGAGAGGTAAAAGTGAAAGCAGCACAAGAAGGTAAGGCAAATACTGAATCATTGGTATATAGTAACATTCCTGGAAGAGTTAATGATGAAAATATTGATGAACTCTTGGATGAAGTTTTGATGATGATGACCATACTCAGTAGAAAAATCTAAGGAATGATTCTGCAAACACATGACATTAACAAGACTGTAACCAGATCAAATGCAAAGGCTAAGAGGGAAATAAATAAGTGCTTGAAGTGTACTTCCTGTAGCAAAAAGAGGAAGCATTGCAAAAGCAAATGCTAATGCAGCATCATCAGGAAACTGTTTTACTTTGGTCATGCGGCCTACACGTCTACAGATTCTTCTTCTTGATCATCCCTTCGATGTGGGCAAGGGTCTATGTTCATCAGAAAAGTCAAGATTTCGTTATCTACACCGAACTGAACACATTTAAAGCCAAATACAATTGCCGATGTGATGGTGAAATACTGAAAAATAAAAAATAAAAAAAAATAAAAAAGGTTAGGATGAATTTGTTGTTCATAATCTTTAATAGAATTTGATGTTTGCATTTTTTATCTAGCTACTAGAATAAATGATGGCGTCCTTTATGTCACTGTTTTTTGAGTTATAGAGGTGGTGATGCCACCTGAATGCCTCTTAAGGCATAAGCACCTTGAAGATTATATCTTGGCACCGCTACATGTTTCGAAGTAACAATAAACTCTCAAACTCTCTAAATTTCTCTTCATTACTACAAAGGATCAACCACAATTTTAGTCAACTATAATTGAACAATACCATGCATGAGAATCATGTGCAGTTTGCGTACTAAAGAATATAAATTTCTATGCTCTATTTATATAGAATGTGGCGATTCTATAATATTCTAATGAACGATTCATGAATATGAATGATGCATCAAAAAACTCTATACAATTCTGAAAAACGGAAAGATGAGCACACACTTGCACGTGTGTATATGTTTTGTCTTTTTTCAATATTTTCCATTACTTCCTTCCAAAAATGACTGCACTTTTAACGTGGAGAACCATGATAATTAAACCTCAGCAATGAAGTTTAGGTAATCATGCTACATTCAACTAAAGAGATGCTTAGGAACTATAATTTACACGGACGTACCCAGAAGGCCACTATTTTTCCAATGATTTCGGATTGGCATCGTGTATAAAACGGAATTAGGGTTTCTTGCATTTACACATTTTTCTATGATTGCACAAATCTTTTTTTCCTTCATTGTTGCTAGCATTAATTGTGATCTTGCCATTTTTTCATTTGCATTTATAACTTGTGACAAATGCTATATTTACTCTATCATGGACACATTGGCCCACATTTGTATATTTAATTTGAGACACGAACACTCTTACCAAAGTAATACATGGTTCTGTAGAATAAGAACTTTTGGGGATAAGTTGTTATTGAAGGTTGATATAGGTTGGTAGAAGAGGCCACCCTCGACGTACAAGCAAGATGGATCACTACACTTCGACGCAAGACCGTCGACCTCCCCTAGAGGCGCTCTATCAATACCCCCGAGGAGAGCTCTACCATTACTCTCGGGGAGCGCTCTACCACTACACAAGGCCGTCAATCCCCCTTAAGGGCGCTCTACCAATATCCCCGGGGAGCATTCTACCATTATCCCCGAGGAGCGCTCTACCATTACGCGAGGTCTTCAACGGGCACGGAATAGCCAACCTAAACACTTAGCCATAAAACCTCTAGTAAATTGACTAGGGTCCATGGCAATTAACACGGGTACAACCTCCAGGCGGGAAGATAAAGACCCCCACTCAAAACGTAGGGGTAGTGGGAATGCCAATGTGGGACACGTGACATCACAACCGCCCAGCGGTTATCCAGCTCCGAATATCTATAAATACCTCGGATGTGACATAGGTAAACCTCTCTGACTCTTTTTAGCCATCTGATTTCCAATTGCAAGTCTAAAAACTAATTCTAATGCCGGAGGTAAAATGGGGGAGGAAGCCCCGCCTTCATTTTTCAGGTTACAAACACTTGGCGGAGCGGTCGGAATATCGAACGTCACCAGGCAGATAGAAAGGTATTGTTCCACAACCATTTCATTGGCGCCATCTGTGGAAAATCATTTGAACTAAAAAGCTATGTCGAGAAGACAAACAAAGAGTGATACTCGTATGGTTGGAAATACGGCGAAGACAGAGTCTGAGTCAGTTGCAAGGGGTCACGAGCCACCGCCGCCTCCGCAGTATGTGACGCAGAGTCAGTTCAGCGCTTTGGAGACTCAAATGGCAGCAATGATGGCGATCTTGCAAACCAGTCGCAGAGAGACACGATCCTTCCGTTGAGTCCGACGTAAGCGACGAACCAGCAACCGCCTCAAACACCACCTGCGATTGTTCTACCCATCTCTCTATAGGGGACGGGAGGCGCGGGGGGCCCAGTGGTCATAGCTCAGCAGCCCCCGCAAGCCATGGTGGACCTGGAACAAAAGATGGAAGAAATCATGGCCCAGAAGATAGATGATGCACTGTCCAAGAGAAAGGATAGATGGAGGCAGATGGTGTTGGAAGAAGACCCGTTCGCCCCTGAGATCATGGCGGTCCCCTTGCCTAAAGGCTTCAAGCAACCCATGATAGAAGCATATGATGGAGTCAAAGATCCGCTTGACCACCTGCGGACCTTTGTAGACTTGCTGAGACTTTATGCTACTCCGGACGCTGTGATGTGCCGGTCCTTCCCCCCCACAATCAGGAGGGAGGCCAAGGACTAGGTAGCAACCTTGGCATTACGGTCTATCAAGACGTTTGATGAGCTCTTCAGGAGCTTTGTGGCTTACTTCCTAAGCAGCAAAAGGAAGAGGAAGACGGTCATTGGGTTGATGTAGGTCGTACAAGAGAAAGACGAGTCGTTGCAGGAATACTTGGCTAGGTTTAGCCGGGCTACTCTCGGTATAAAAGACCTGCAAATGTCCACAGTGGTTACTGCCTTGATGAACGGAACGCGAAATCGAGCCTTTAAAATGTCACTCTCCAAAAACCCCCCAGAGTCAATGCATGACCTATTGAAAAAGAGAGATAAGTATGTCGATGCAGAGGAAACGGAGAAAGTGACCAAAAATCTCAGGGACGGATGGGAAACGGAAGCACATAAGCGAAAAGCGTATGATGAGTGAAGGCACACTGATAAGAATAAGCCGAAGAATGAACGTATGAACAAGGGTTATGCCCAAGACTGATCGGTCAAGCAGAAGCGAGAGGAGGCCAAGGCACCCACCCCTTTGAACATCCCACGTACGAAGTTATTAATGGAGATACAGCACATGAAAGAGCTCGAATGGCCTAAACCGATACTAACTTCCTCCAACAAGAGAAATCAAAGAAAGTATTACCATTTTCACAAAGATCACAGACACGATACAGAAGAATGTCTACAATTGAAGGAAGAAATCGAGCGCCTGCTAAGGCGGGGACTATTGGCCAAGTATGTAAAAAACGACAGGGGCAGACAAAGGCTCAAAGGGATACCCCCACCAAGGTCAAGAGTGATAAACATGATCATTGGGGGAGTAGCATCGGGTGGCGACTCGAATTCAGCTAGGAAGAGCTATGCGCGTTCTGCAGGGGTCTGCTCTATCCAAAAAAGGCAAGGTTCAACCAGAGCATTACTTTCGACGAAGAGGACTTGATCGGTATAACGCATCCCCACGATGATACCTCAGTGATAATGGGCGATATAGCTGATTTTGACGTAAAGAGGGTCCTTGTCGATGGAGGAAGTGCAGCAAATGTCCTCACTTGGGATGCCTTCTTGGGTCTAAAAATTCCCCCAGAAAAGTTGAAGATAGTGATTACCCCTCTATAAGGCTTTGGAGGGGCAACAGTGATATCGAAGGGAACTGTAGAGCTCCCAGTTACGCTAGGCACATACCCAGCGACAGTGGTGATTGTGACTAATTTCTTGGTTGTCAAGACCCCCATGGCCTACAACACCATCTACGGCTGGCCATTGCTAAACGTAGCTAGCGCTGTATCATCGACCTACCATCAAATTATGAAGTTCCCAACTAGCAGAGGAGTCAGGAGCATGCGAGGGTACCAGCACGCATCAAGGAAATGTTATGTCGATAGTATACAGGCCAAAGGCTCACCACCAATCATGATGCTGGATGTGGAACTCCCAAGGGGACGAATCGAGCCGTTCGATATGATTGAAAAAATCTTTATAGCCGAGGGACGGGAGTTTAGTATCAGAACAAGTTTGGAATCCGAAAAGAAGGAAAAATTGTCCAAGTGTCTAGCCGGTAACTTGGACATGTTCGCTTGGGGCCTGGAGGACATCCCAGGGATTAGCCCGGCCGTCATGTAGTATCGCCTCGATGTCCTACGGAGGGCTAAGCCAGTGAAGCAGAAAAAAAAAAAAGAAATCTTGCCCCAGAGAAGCAGGTCACAACCAGAGCAGAAGTAGAAAAATTGCTATAGGTGGGTTTCATTCGAGAGGTGTAATACCCCGAGTGGTTGGTAAACATCGTACTTGTGAGGAAGTTAAACGAAAAATGGCGCATGTGTGTAGATTATACTGGGTTGAACAAGGTATGCCCAAAAGACTCATACCTGCTCCCCAGGATAGATCACCTGGTAGACGCTACATCGGGTCATGAAAGGCTCGACTTTCTAGATACATTTTCCGGATATCATCAGATTTCAATGGCTGAGTCCGACCAAGAGAAGACATCATTTATCACAGACTTTGGCACGTACTGTTACACGGCCATACCTCTCGATTTGAAAAATGCCAGGGCGACTTATCAGAGGATGGTGAACAAAGTCTTTCACGGTTTGATCGGAGATGTTGTAGAGGCTTATGTTGACAATATGGTGGTCAAGAGCGCCAAGGCTAATGACCATGTGGCCTGTTTGCAAAGAATTTTTGACGTTGCCCGACAAAATAAATTAAGGTTCAATCCAGAAAAGTGTGTTTTTGGTACTGCAGGAGGAAAATTCCTAGGCTTCATGATCACGCAAAGAGGCATCAAAGTGAACCCGGACAAAATTCAGGCAATCCTAGAAATGAAAAGCCCTACTAGTAGGAAGGAGGTCCAGAGCCTAATAGAGCAGGTAGTCGCTCTAAATTGTTTCATGAGCTGGGCGACGGACAAATGCTACCACTTTTTCATGGCTACAGGGAGTTCCTCCAACTTCGTGTGGACCCGGAAATGTGAAGAGTCACTTAAGAGCTTGAAGCAGTCATTATAGGAGCCCCCGATCTTGACCAGCCCATGCCCCGGGGACGTGTTGTGTCTCTACTTGGCAGTCTCACCAAGGGCAGTCAGCGCGGTGCTAGTGAAAGAGTTCGCAAAGGCACAAAAACTGGTCTATTATGTGAGCCAAGTATTGAGGGGCGTAGAGGTAGGATATAGGCTGGTAGAGTAGCTAGTGTTTGCATTAATTGTCACGGTTAGGAAGCTGAGGCCTTACTTTCAATCTCACACGGTGCAAGTAATAACCGACCAACCTATCAAGCAGATCCTACATCGACCAGAGACCTCTGGGAGGATGTTGAAATGGGCAATCGAGTTAAGTGAGTTTGATATTGAATTCAGGCCAAAGACGGCTATTAAGGCACAGGCTCTTATAAACTTCATCGCTGAGCTCATCATTCCGCCCGAGCACCCGTCGGGGGAACACGTAGATTGGAAGATTTATATGGATGGATCTTCGAACGATGAGGGATCCGGGGCGGGGATCATAATGGTAGGTCCAAATGGTGAAGAGTTGGAATACTCACTGCGTTTTGAATTCCCAGCTACAAATAATGATGCTGAGTATGAGGCAGTAATCACAGGATTAGGACTGGCAGCCAGACTCGAGTTAGCTTCAGTAGAAATTTGCAGTGACTCTCAGTTGATAATCGAGCAAGTGACGGGGGATTTCGAAGCTAAAGACGGAAAGATGGCGACATATTTAATGGAGGTCAAAAACTTGCAGAAGGGGTTTACCAAGTTCAAAATAACAAAGGTCCCCCGAAAAGACAATGAGCGGGCGGACGCATTGGCGAAGCTCGCATCCACAAACCCCAGACGTCTGCCTCGCATAGCGAGCGTGCAAATCTTGCGGAGACCTAGCATCCAACGTGTGGTCGATGTTGTGAATGTAGAGCAAGGGGAGAGTTGGATGGACTATTTGGTTGAATATCTCACAAAGAATAAGTTGCCGGAAGATGCATTCGCAGCAAGAAAGCTAAAAGTCCGAGCAGCCTCGTTTGCCGTCATCGATGGACAACTTTACAAGCGAGGTTTCACAATGCCATATTTGAAATGTTTGCGACCGACAGAAGCGCATGAGGTGCTAGTCGAGATACATGTAGGAATTTGTGGCAACCACCAAGGGCAGACCGTCCTTGCATTCAAGACACCTCAACAAGGATATTATTGGCCTAGTATGAAGGAAGACGCTAAGGAGTTGGTGAGGAAGTGCGATGCATGTCAACGCCATGGAAATTTGATCCATGTTCCAGCCGAACAATAGACAGCAGTTTTTGGGGTGTGTCCCTTCCTCCAATGGGGGATGGACATCCTGGGGCCTTTTCCCCTAGCTAAGGGACAAAGGAAGTTCCTGCTAGTTGCCATAGACTACTTTACTAAGTGGGTGGAGGTTGAGCCCTTAGCCACCATCACAACTACAAAATTACAAGGCTTCGTCTGGAAAAATATCATATGCAGGTTTGGCATACCCAGAGTGGTTATTACAGATAATGGCAAACAATTAGACAATCACAGTTTTAGAGCCTTCTGCACAAGCTACCACATAGACCATAGGATAACTTCAGTCGCTCACCCACAGTCAAACGGACAGGCCAAAGTGACCAACCGAGCCATACTATGGGATCTGAAGACAAGGCTTGAAAAGAAGAAAGGGCTTTGGGCAGATGAGTTGCCCAATGTGCTATGGGCGTATCACACAACTCCTCGAGAGCCGACCGAGGAGACACCGTTCAGACTGGCCTCTGGAATGGAGGCCGTGGTTCCAGTCGAGATCTTAAGCGAGACAGGTAGGATGAAAGTCAAGCAGCCTGACGACGCAGCGACTAGGGGAGAACTCGACCTTCTTGAAGAGGTAAGGGAGAAGGCGGCAATAAGAATGATGACTTATAAATGAAGAGCCGCCGAGTACTTCAACCGGAGAGTAAAGCCAAGAGTCTTCCAACCAGAGGATCTCGTGCTAAGAGATGCAGCAGCGACAGGATACCCCTCACCAAAGCTTGGTCCAAACTAGGAAGGCCCGTACGAAGTAATTCGCGGGCTGGGGAAGGGAGCTTACAGCTTGAAAGATATGAAAAGAAGGCCACTAGGTAGGTCATGGAATGCAGAACGCCTCAAAAAGTATTACCAGTAGATTTTGAAATATGTGCACAGGCTATGCTTTTGTAAATACAGTAGAGTAGGTTGCATCATTTATTTTCTCCATGTAACGCCTTACGAAGGCACCCTTAGTTGTAATATTTTATCTTATTCAATGAAAGACCTTGGCAGTGGCAGATGATGAGGACACTACGGAAGGGCCAGCCTAGCTGGGACGTCTCGATGGGCCTACTGAGCTCACAAATTCAAAAATTTTTTATGCTCACAGGAATCTTGAATCTCCTTGCTCATCCCATGAAGACATGTGGTCGACATAGTCCAAAAGGCTAGGCGGAGAGCCATTTAAACCAAAAATTTGGTTAAGGCCCTAAAGCGCTAGACCATGCCCCCTGATGGTCAACACAGCCCAAGAGGCTAGGCGAAAAGCCATTGAAACCAAAAATTTGGTTAAGGCCCTAAACCGCTGGACCATGCCCCTTGATGGTCGACATAGCCCAAGAGGCTAGGCGGAGAGCCATTGAAACCAAAAATTTGATTAAGACCCTAAACCGCTAAACCATGCTCCCGAAGGTCGACACAGCCCAAGAAGCTAGGCAGAGAGCCATTGAAATCAAAAATTTGGTTAAGGCCCTATACCGCTAGACCATGCCCCCCTGATGGTCGACACAACCCAAGAGGCTAGGCGGAGAGCCATTGAAACCAAAAATTTGGTTAAGGCCCCAAACCGCTAAACCATGTCCCCGACGGTTGACACAGCCCAAGAGGCTAGGCGGAGAGTCGTTGAAACCAAAAATTTGGTTAAGGCTCTAAACCGCTAAACCACGCCCCCGACGGTCGACATAGCCCAAGGGGCTAGGCGGAGAGCTTTGAAAAGTTAAAAAATTAGCTAAGGCCTAGCGCACGCGAGACAAATGACATTTACCCAGGCTATCAAATAGCTGAACGCAAGAAATAATGCTAGGAGAAACAAGCTTCAACATTAATGACCATCGATAACATAGCATTCATACAAAAAGCATGTAATGTAATCTTGCCCACACCCCGGACAAGTAGGAAACGATGCTACATGTAGAAATAAAAGACAACAAGAAAAAGGAGGAAGAACTGACAAAAGGTGCTACTGCTAAGGAGAAACACCATCACTGTCGCCCCGCGGCGAAGGACCAAGTGACCTAGATGACTGCGCCCCACTCTCCTTCCTCTTGCGCTGTGCAAGGAACTTGTCAAAACCTGAGGGGTTAATGGAAGGATGCTCGGTCGATATCCACTCCTTGGTCAGTTTGATGGACGCTGCCATCGCCTTTCCCCCGTACGAGCGCAAAGCTCCG